GGCTCAGCTTGCCCCCTCACTCATGGGTCAATGGGTCTGGCTCGGCCTGCCCCCTCACTCATGGGTCTGGCTCGGCTCACCCCCTCACTCATGGGTCAAGGGGTCTGGCTTGGCCTGCCGGCTGGATCACTGAATACAGCTCAGTTTGCTCCCTTGCCTGCTGGGGCACTGGGTCTGGCTTAGCCTGCCCCAGGGCACATCCATCTGCAGACCCAGGCTGGCTGGCGGCAGTTTGCGGGGAGGCCTCTGGAGCAGGCTGGGCAGGGCCTTCCTGGCCCAGGCAAGCGGTGGGGCTGATGGCCTGGTCATGGCTGTAGGCAGCAGATCGGGCAGGTGGAAGGGGCAGTCCCGGCATCCTGTCCCAACCCGCAGGCAAGCATGGCAGGAGCCTGGCTCTGGGGTGGCCATTGCAAGAGCCCTCATAGCAGTGCCATGGGTCAGGGGACCATGGCCCCCCATCCCCAGGGATTGGCGCCCGTTTGGTGAGTGCCCCAGGAGGAGTCTCCATCCCTGCACATGCCCCACTGTCCTCTTGCAGGACCTGGCCTCGGCCTCCTCGCACCCACTCACTGCGAGGGAGGCCCTATGCGGCCCACTAGGCCGCACTTGCTGCCTTAGCAACGGTTGCTAGGTAGTGCCAGGGCGGGTGGGGGAAGACTCGGAGGAGTGAGCTGCGGCGCATGCGTACTGTGCAGGAGGAGCGAGGCTGCCGCTGGCTGCGCACTGGGCTGGGGTGAGAGGCTCTGAGAGTGTGGAGCGGGTCAATTGCCCACAGGGGCGTGGGGGTTGGGGGTGGCGTGGGTTGTGGGCGGTTCCATTGTTCATTGTGGGCTGCCGGGGCGCTCCATCGCCTGTGCTGCAGAGGCCGCATTCTCTGGGAGGAGGACTGTACCATTCTGTTCTTGGGGGGAGGAGGGTTGGAGGGGCGGGCAGTCCCATTACTTTAATGGGGGGAAGGGCAGTGGTGGCAGGGATGGGCAGTCCCATTCCCTTTAATGGGGGGAGGGGCGGGGTGGGCAGTCCCATTACCTTTGATGGGGGGACGGGCATATCCATTATCTCTAGGGCACTGGGGTGGGGGGAGCGCTCACTGTGAGGGGGCTACTCTACCTCTGGCAGGGGAGCAGCAGGAGAGCAAAGGTCACATCAGTGGTCAGAGCTGCTTCTGCCTCACCATGTCTCTCTGACCCCTCTGCCACCTGGGCCATGGGGCCCTTCCCCCTCTAGGGGGCACTGGCTCCCACCCGGCCCCAGGGCGGGGAATGGCTGGCTCAGGGAGTGGGGAGCGGGACATGGGGCCTTTCCCCTCTAGGGGGCGCTGGCTCCCACCCAGCCCCAGGGCGGGGAATGGCTGGCTCAGGGAGTGGGGAGCGGGACATGGGGCCTTTCCCGTCTAGGGGGCGCTAGCTCCCACCCAGCCCCAGGGCAGGGACTGGCTGGCTCGGGGGGTGGGGAATGGGCCATGGGGCCTTTCCCCTCTAGGGGGTGCTGGCTCTCACCCAGCCCCAGGGTGGGGAATGGCTGGCTCAGGGTGTGGGGAATGGGCCATGGGGCCTTTCCCCTCTAGGGGGCGCTGGCTCTCACCCAGCCCCAGGGCGGGGAATGGCTGGCTCAGGGTGTGGGGAATGGGCCATGGGGCCTCTCCCCTCTAGGGGGCGCTGGCTCCCACCCAGCCCCAGGGCAGGGACTGGCTGGCTCAGGGAGTGGGGAGCGGGACATGGGGCCTTTCCCCTCTAGGGGGCGCTGGCTCTCACCCAGCCCCAGGGTGGGGAATGGCTGGCTCTGGGTGTGGGGAATGGGCCATGGGGCCTCTCCCCTCTAGGGGGCGCTCTCTCTGCTCCTGCCTGGGAACACCCTGTGGATTCAGCCTGCTGGGCCTGCCCAGCTCTTCTCTGTGCTGCAGTCGCTAAATGACTCTAGTGCAGTGCTGGGTGGCACCGGCCTGGGGGCAGAGCTGGCTCAGCAGGGCCTGCTCTCAATGCTGGGCGAGTGAGCCATTCAGAGTCTCACCAGGCCTGCGAGGGGAAAGAGAAGGCGCCAGCACTCAGCCTTGTTTCCTGCCTTGCAGGTGCTGTCACTCCCGCCAGACGTGATGCCCATGTTGGACCCTAGCCAGCTCGCTATCCGTGAGATGCAGGAAGATGAGGAGCAGATGATTCTGGAACTGCTAAAGGTCTGGGGAGGGGCCAGTCAGTGCCTGTCTGTCCGGCCTTGGAGCTGTCTGTCTGTCTGTCCGTCCGTCCAAGCTCTAACCCTCTGCCTGCCTTTAGCACCTGCCCTGTGGGGATCTCAAAGCTAGTGAATGATCCTGCATGTCCCCCTGCCCCTAGCTTGATGTAGCAGGTCAGTGTGAATACCATTATTCATGGAGGAAACTGAGGCGCAGAGAGCTGAGGCAACCGACCCTTGAAGTCACGCAGGGTCAGCGCAAGACCTGCCTTTGACCTGCCATTTCCTGCTGTGAGCGCTAGACCCTGCTGGTCTCCAAGGTACAGAGCTAGAACCCAGGAGTCCTGCCGGCTGCTCCTTTCCCTCTACCCCTGGCCTTTGTGCTCTATGTGCAGTACCTGTGAGAATGCATGGGATTGAGGCCCCGTGTCCCACCCTGTGGCTGTGGTGCCCTTTCAGGTGGGGTCACATCCCTCAGGGAAAGCTGCTGCCCGTGGCGAACCCGACATCACAGCCTGACCCTACGCTGCACTTTCTCCCTCCCCCCACCACCTCCCCGCTTGTCCTGGCTCTGCTATCCTTGTGCCAGGCCCTGCTGACATGCCCTTTCCCCCCCAGGATGGGTTCAAGGACACGGAGAACCGGCTGATCTTGTATGTCCTGACGCGGCCCCTGGCACTGCTGCTCCTGGCCGTGGTGAGCAGTGGCCTCCGCTTCCTGCTCAACTCCTTTGTAGCGGCGCTGCTGGGGCCCGTGCTCCTCACCATCCTGGCCCTCAAGCTGCTGCTGCGGCGCTCGCCGGACCTTGGCTGCCTGGGCGCGTATTACCGCTCGGGGCAGCGTGGGCTCTGGGTGGCGGTGTACGACGGCGACGATGTGTGCGGCTGCGTGGCGCTGCAGCCCTGCCCGCGGGGGGTGACCCGCACGGCTGAGCTGAGGCGCTTGGCCGTCAGCCGCTGGTACCGGCGCTCCGGCGTGGGGCGCTGCCTGGTGGCCTTCCTGGAGGCCCAGGCCCGGGCGCAGGGCTATGAGCGTGTGGTGCTCTATACCGCCGTGGTCACCAAGGCTGCCATCAGCCTCTTTGAGAGCAGCGGCTACCGCCCCACTGGCGGGCGCAGCTGGCTGGGCTACACCATCCTGCAGGAATTCAGCAAGGAGCTCTAGCACCCGCTGCCCCCCTTCTGCTGGGTCAGGGGAGTGACTTGTAGGGAGCAATTCTGGCGAAGGGCTGGCGGGCCACATCCGTCCTCATGCCCAGGAGTCCCTCTGCTCCATGGATGTGGGATTTGGGGTGTGGCAGCCCCAGCCTTCTCTCAGCAGTGCCACCTCTTCCTTGACTGGAAACAGCCTGTTTTGGATGAGTCCCTTGCTGGAGCTTCAGCTGGACAAGACCGGCCGGACCTGATTGTGACTGTTGGGGGGGAGGGAAATCACAGACCCAATTGTGACTGTGGTGGGTGGGGATCACAGACGCTCTGGTGACTGCTCTGGGGACCCTGACATGGAACGGAGCAAAAGGGAACTTGAGCTTGGAGACTGGGGAAGTCCTGCCCCTGGGGTGGAGGTGCAGGCGTTGCCCCAGGGGTGGGGGGGTGGGAACCCCAGCATTAGAGCAGGGCTGCGGAGGAGTGTCTCTCTCCTGCCCCAGAGTGGGCTCTCCCCAGCACCAGCTTGGCTGCGTGATGGAGTCGTTTGGCCATGGTTTGCCATGGGCGAATTCCCAGGCCTGGTCCTGGCTGAGGATCACATTGCTGCAGCCAGGAGAATGGGGACTCTGGAGCTGTCAGTTGCCCCTGCAGTCTGGCAGCTCCTGTCCAAGCACCCAGAGCTCACGCTGTCCCACCCGGGGCCATGGGACCTTGCTGCAGTCACGCAGGCTACCAGCCGTCGCCGGGTACATGTATGTCCGAGCATGTGTGTGAATAAAGTTTGCCATTGCAGATACTGCAGCTCCATCTATCTCCCACCCCCACAGGCCTGGGGCAGCTCCCCAGGCAGAGCGCCAGCCAGCAGGAGCACACAGCAAGGGGATCCACTCAGCCCAGGGCGGTCGTGGGAGCTGTCTCTCGATCTCCAGACGTGCTCTTACAACAGCAAATATCCCTCCTCCCATCCTAGTGTGCATGGGGGGCCAGCGCTGACTGTCAGGGAAGAGCGCCCCCTACTGAGCAACCCACTTTCTGCAACACAGGCCCCCTAGCGCTGGCCTGGGGCATTGGGGCTAGCATCGACTGCGAGGGGAGAGAGCCCCTGCCTGCTCCTTGCAGCCGCCTGCCTGTTCCTTGGCAGTCTCCCTCCACGGCAGGCCAGGCAGCTGCTGTTTAGCGTGGGATGTTTGGTTGTATGACAACACAGGTTGCTATGGTTGCCGGTATCCTGGAAACACAGCCCTCAGTGGCGACGGGGAGGCTGAGGACCAGCCAGGCCATGGAGCTCCCTCAGCCCTGCGGTGCAGCTGGCCGGGCAGGGGCAGTGCCTGGCATGGGGTGCCAGGTGGACAGGGTCCCCAGGGCTGCCCAATGTCTACAGGCAGGGTCCCAGAGACCTGGGCTGGGCCGTCCCTCTGCCTGCGGCACTGCGGGCTGCAGGCCAGCCTGGCTCGCACAGCACTGACTCAGTCTTTCTATGACTCGCCCCCGGCTGGGACCATGCGGCCAGGACTGGGGGGGAGATGGGCGCCAGCCAGGCCACGGCCCCACACTGCCCCCATGATAGGACAGGACCCCTCCCCCTGTCCCATCACACCCCTTGGTCCATACAACATGGCACAGCACTCAGGGCGTACAAGTATGTCAGTGTGTGTATGTGTGTAAATGACTGTGTGCATGTGAATGATTGAGAGTATGTGCGTGCGTCTGGGCATGTGTACGAATTGACAGTGTGTGTGTGTCAGCGTGTGTGCACATGTATGTCAGCACCTGTGTGTGTTTGTGTGTGTGCATCCCTTTGCATGTATATTTGCACACACATGGGCGTGCATGTGGGGGATGCTGGGTGTGTGTGTGTGGCCCTGGATGTTGGTTTGCGTTGCACACACAGACATGAGCCCAGCTGTTGCAGCTGTTTCTGTTGCTGCTCATTAACCCGTTGCCTGCCAGTGGCCTGGCTGGAGGATACTGCTCTCTGTACTGGGACACGTGGCTGGCAGGGCTCGCCCAGTCCAGCATCCCTGATGTCATGCTTGCCCACTCCTGTGCACAGGGTCCCCTGCCGGCCCTGGCTTCCCTGGCTCCGAGGTCACCACTCTGAGCTGTGGGCGTTACAAGGCTCCCTCCTTATAAACTGTGGCCAGGCTGAGTCATCCCCTGGCCTGGCCAGTCCTGCTCCATGAAACAGCCGTTCCTGACACTCTGCAGACCTGGCCCCAGGGCTTGCTCCCCACCAGTCACCATGCGGCTGCCCCTGCTCCTCCTTGGTGAGTACCAGCTGCTTTGGGGGCGAGGTTCAGGCACTGGGGAAGCCCAGCCCCTTCCTAGCCCCAGGGTCGCAGCTCAGGCACTGTCAGAACTCCCGGATGCTGAGGGCTGCAGGGGGCACAGAGCACCAGGCAGAGGTTGTTGAGCACTGGGCAGGGGGTGGCAAGCAGGGGGCACTGGGCAGCGGGTGTTGAGCACTGGGCAGGGGACACTCAGTTACAAAACCCCAAGCAGGGAGCTCAAGGTGCCTGGCACTCCAGGGCTCACTCTGTTTGCAGGCATTTGCAGTGTTTATCTAAGTGCTGCTCACGCTGGTCGTTCCCGGATTGGGGGCTCCAACTGGCTGCTCCCCCACACCCAGCCAGGCCCCCACACTGGACCGTCCTGACTCCCTGACCCGCTGGGCAGGAGACTGGCCATCTGCTGGGCTCTGCTCACCTGCTGCGCTCTTGTTTTTCAGTTGGGTTCCTGGAATTTCACTACACAGGTAACTGCGTATTGTGGGTCTGTGCGTGCACCCCTCTGTGTGTGCGTGTCTCTGTGTATGTGTCCCTGTCGGCTCTGTGTGTGGGTCTGTGCGCGCACCCCTGTGTGTGTGCACGTCCCTGTGTATGTGTCCCTGTTGGCTCTGTGTGTGTGTGTGTGTGTGCGCGCGCCTGTGTGTGTGTACACGTCGCTATCTGGCTCTGTGTGTGTGTGTGTGCGCCCCTTTGTCTGTATCCCTCTGTGTGTGTGTGTGTGCGCGCGTGTGCACCCCTGTGTGTGCGTGTGCACCCCGTATGTGTCCCTGTGTGTGCCCCTATGTATGGGTGTCCCTATCCCTGTGTGTGTGACCCTGTGTGTGTTGGGGGGAGGCAGGGCAGAGGACTACATAGGATCTATGCGGGCCTGGTGTGTACACTGCTCACAGAGGAGTGCTTGGCCCATCCCGCTGAGCCATCTTGGCGACGCAAGCTCTATCTTGCAGGTACCGCTCGGGGCTCTGCTGACAGAGCCATGTTGGGCAGGGGTGACACCTCTTCACACCCCGCCCAACAGTCGTGCCAGCAAACTCTGCATGTAGGCCTGGCCAGCATGTCCCTGGCCGTGCGTGTGTCCACCCCTGCCTGTCTCACCCTAGCACTGCCTGTCTGGGCCTGGCACTGTCTGTGGGGGTCCCCTCTCCACCTCCAGCTCTCGCTGCCTTCTGATGTGATGGGGATGGGCAACCACAACTCCAGCCCATGTGGGGCAGGTGGGGTGAAGTGTTGCAGTGGGGTGAAAGGTCACAGTGGTGTGGAGAGTTGCAGGGAGTGTGAAAGGTTGCAGTGGGGTGAAAGGTTGCAGGGGGTATGAAGGGTCGCAGTGGGGTGAAAGGTCACAGTGGGGTGAAAGGTCGCAGGGGGTGCGAAGGGTTGCAGTGGGATGAAAGGTTGCAGGGGGTGCAAAGGATCACAGTGGGGTGAAGGGTTACAGTGGGGTGTGAAAGTGTTGCAGTAGGGTGGAAGCTCAAAGGGGTTGAAGGTTCACAGGTGAGTGAAGGATCATGGGGGTGGGCTCAGTGGGGCAGAGTGGCCCATGGGGTGATGGGCTCAGGGAGGAACAGCCCCATTATGGGGTAGGAGCCTGGGAGGAAGAGGCCCATGGGGTGGTGGGGCCCTGGAGGGAAGGGGCCCATTGGGGTGGGGCTAGGGGAGAGTGGTCCCATGGAGCAGAGTGGCCTGAGAGGGGCTGGGGTCCTGGGAGGAAGGAGTGGTGCAGTGGGGCCCTGGGGGTGGCGTAAGGCCCCGTGGGGCTGGGTGGAGAGGGGAGGGCCCAATGGGGCAGAGGGGCCATGAGAGGGGGGTTGTGGGTCTGACAGACTGTGCCATCCCTGCAGGCCCATTCCTGGTGCGTCTGGCTGGGGGCCCCAGTGAGTGCGTGGGGCGCGTGGAGATCAACTACAAGGGCCGCTGGGGCTCGGTGTGTGACGACGAGTGGGACCTGGCCGACGCAGCCGTGGTGTGTAGGCAGCTGGGCTGCGGCACCGTGCTCTCGGCCCCGGTGGGCGCCTGGTTTGGGGAGGGCACTGGCCCCATCTGGCTCAATGAGGTGCGGTGCCAGGGCTCAGAGCAACATCTGCGCCACTGCCGCCACCGGGGCTGGCGCCAGCATGTCTGCAGCCATGAGGAGGACGCCAGTGCCGTGTGCTCAGGTGGGGCCAGCCGGAGTGTGTGACGTGGCAGCTGGGAAAACCGCACAGCTGTGTCAGGTGGTACCCGGCCCTGGGACAGTTGGAGCCGGCGCCCCATAGAGGGGACAGGCCCCATGTCCCATTCCCTACCCCCTGAGCCAGCTGGTAGCCGCATGGGGGGCCAGAGCGGACGCCCCTAGAGGGCCCCATGTCCCATTCTCCACCCCGTGAGCCAGCCATTCCTGCCCTGGGGCCGGATGGGAGCTGGCGCCCCATAGAGGGACAGGCCCCATGTCTCATTCCCCACCCCCTGAGCCAGCTAGTCCCTGCATGGGGCCAGAATGGAGCGGACGCCCCTAGAGGGCCCCATGTGCCATTCCCCACCCCCTGAGCCAGCCAGTCCCTGCCTTGGGCCAGAGTGGAGCAGACACCCCTAGAAGGCCCTGTGTCCCACTACAGCGTGGTGTGGCTGGGGCTCTGGGTATGTGCAGGTGTTATGGCCTGTTCCATTTCAGTGCCCATTGTGGCTGGCACCGATCCTTCCAGGGCCCAAAGGCCACACTCTCCATGTGGCCATGTCTCTGTGTCCCTGTCTG